TTCATCAAATATTTCAAAATTTTATTTCATTGTTAATTTTAACAAAATCATTACCAAAGCGCGTCAGTAAAAATCACCGAATTTTTTGATGTTCCATTAGAGCCACACTGTAAAAAATTTCAGATTTAAGTATAGAAAAAAGTACTGCACTCAGGGTGCTAGTAAATTTTACCGTCAAATTTTGGAAATATATTCTTGCCGTACCGAAAATATATTCTTGCCGTCAAATTTTTCGGAACTAATAATCTGAAGCATCGTAATTTTTATATACAGTAATATTTATTGCCAAATCCCTGAATTACTGCTATTAAATATATATTACTGTAAAAATTGTGGGATAAAATATAATCGAACTTTTGGGTGTTCCCTCAGAACCACACTGCAAAAAATTCCGGATCAAATCAAGGTGAAAAGTACCGAAATTCAGGGTGCTTGTAAATTTTACCGTCAAATTTTACGGAACTAAAAATCAGACACATCTTAATTTTTACAGTAATATATATTGCAAAATCTCTAAATCACTGTCGTTAAATATAATCGCTGTAAATATTTCGAAAAAAAATATTATGGTAAAAATGGATTTTACGGATAATGCACCCCTGGCACCAGTATTTTTTTATCGTAATTTAGTGCACAGTTCGCTAAATTTTACCATATGTTGATAGTTTTGACCATATTTTTTCTAAGTGCAGTAATATCAGCGAAATATTGAGTGACTAAAATTTTATTCTTTAAAATTACGTTGAGTTACATTTGTTGTTTTTGTTGTGCTCAGACTTTCATTACATATTCTATAGATTGAAATGATTATTTATCTCTGAATATTTAAGGAGCATTAATAGAACTTACTAATGTACTTAATTTTTTGCAAATACAATCTCATTACTGCTGTATTTAAGCATAAAAATACACATTATTGCATTTAAAATTGTAACTCAAGACGGACAGACATGCCATTATATTTTTAATGAATATTCTTGTCATCAATAACAAAGCTTTTTTTTTAACAATTTAATAAAAATACAGACAAAAAATAGGTGAATTGAGAAAAAAAAAACGTTATCTCCATTTTTGATAAGCATGATTATACAAGATTCATAAAAGCACTTCAACTTTAACACAATAATGACGTTAAAAAGTGTCATTGTTTTATATTTTCATATCGCGGGATATAATTTACCGGTTATTCGTGCACGCGATATGTTGTACCTTTTTTCCCCTATCGCAAGGCCAATGTTGTTTTATGGTAAATAAAACAACAAGCAAAATTTGTGTAATTATAAAAATAGCATGTTTCTTTTAATGATTTGAGCATAAGATTTGTGGAATAACTAATAATCTGAAGTTGTATGCATAACAGAAAACGAACAGTTTTAACACATTTGTTTGTACCTATAGAAACAAACCTCGCTAGATAGAAAATAAATAGGTTTATGTTTTCTATTTCAGCAGTAAACCTTTCAGCTAGTTCAATAAAATGATTCACTAAATGACGTTAGTTTAAATAACGGTTTTTAAAAATGTAGACTTTTATGCAATCTATATTCAAACTGGCTTAGGGTAGTATAAAAAACTTATTATTCAAATTTTTATGATAAGTAATAATAACAGTTATTGAGTTATTCTCTTGATAAAATTTTATAACATAGTGTGGAAATCAAAATATAAAAACTTACAGTGAATATTTATTTACTTAAAATGATAAATGGTGTTTCATGAACAACAATTTCAGGTAATA